TTTCTCTGTCACCCCCCCTCCACCTCCACCTCCCCTTCTCCTTCTCCTTTCTCTGCGCACACATGCAGCCACTAACGGGATTAATTGGTTTTTATTCCGGTGGATGTTAATGGAAGGCTCCGCTCTCCATCCGACAAACAATCAAAAGGTCCAATGTGGGGGGGTCCGAACTGTCGAACCGCGGGTGTAAGGCAGCGAGGGGAGAGGGAGCAGGGTGAATGTGCTGGGGGAGAGATGCGTTTATGTGAAGGGGAATTGGGCTACTTACTGTGCGGATCCGGGCAGATTTCTGGGAGGAAAAAAAAAGCCGCAGCCAGCAGCAGGGAGACGGAGAGGCGTCCGCTGGGAAACCCCGTGGTGTAACGGTCGAGGCTTCGTCGGGATTTCTGCCGGTTTAGTCCCCGGGTTTTCACCGACTCCCCTTTCCCAGATATCCCAGATTTCCCAGATTTCCCCTGCTGCCACACTGAATCCCAACACCGCTAACACTGGCGTCAAGCTACAGGCAGGCAAACTGCGAGACTTCCGGTCATGATTTTCACAATAAAACATCCAGCGACGTCTTTCAGTATATATGCTTTTAAATGACTTCTCTAAACATATCTTTTCAAAAAAGCCTTTTATTTATTCTAGCGCACCGTTTTATCCCCATCATGTCTCATATATTGTATTATTATTATTATTGTTGTTTATTTTAATCTTCTATTAGTGTTGGGTATTTTATTCTTTTTCTATTTAGTATTATTGGAATTCTATGTTTTTATTTGCCTCAGTGCAGTTTTTTGCCAACATGTTTCATCTTTATTATTGTTAATATTTATCTTTATGTATTATTATTATTATTAGTAGTAGTAGTATTAGTATTATCTGATTTGATTTGCCTGATTGCCCTCTGAAATGTTTTAATCCTGGTTCACTCACGTATTATATATATAATAATTATGTTTATTATTATTACTGTTGTATTAAACCAGCAACCGTTATTTGACAAAAAATAATGAATGAAAGAAACTAACTTTTATTTTAATCATGGCCTGAAAAATGATTCTGTTTTTATTATCCCCCAGTGCTATTGTTTTTATTATTAACCTCATCTTTAAGCATATTTTCTTAAACAAATGTAAATATGTTTTGTAACTGCTTCCATATCCTTTTCATCATCTCTCAATCCCTCAGATTTATCCAGTGATCTCTTGAAAACTGCTCGCCTATATTACCAAACAAAACAGTCAATAAATTATTATTATTATTATTTTGAACAAACCCTTGTTGGGGGACAAATATTTAGAAAATTGTACAAAGTAAAGCAAGTAGTCAAACGGAAATGTCAGTTTCAACGCGTTGGATCTGTTTTATTGTGAAGCTCAAACTATCTCACTTCCGGTGTTCTTGACGTTTGACTTGACGTATCCAACACCGGATCCCAAAAAACTCAGCGGGAGCGCGGATCCATGCCCTGCGCGTTCCCGGTGCCTTGTTTCCTGTCCTGCCCAACCCAGAATGAGCTCAGCCAATCAGCCCCGGTGAGCTCATTCCATTCTGTCCCTTTCATATAGCCTTCATCAGTTATATTCTAGCATTTATTCTCTTCTTATATTAAAGTTAAAATGATCTCTCCCTCTCTGTCTCTCTCTCTCAGCACCTTGTTCAAGCAGCTGCTGCTTTTCATGCCAAAGTGTGACCTCTAGTGGTGTGAGGCCGCCTGTGTAGGTGGCAGTGCAGTAGTGACAAATAGCACACTGTGACATGTGCAGTATTTACCACAATATGGAGGTTTCACACTTCACAATTTTGTTGAGTTGCATACACAATGTCCCAAAATCCTGCTCATACGTACACATCTCAACCTTAGATTGAAGCACAGACAAACCTTAGCTTTCTAGTGTCAAACTCTGCACAGTGCAGTGACGGTGGTACAGCCCAGAGTCATACAGAGTGCCACCTGTGGAACAGTTCTGAAACTAATTGTCTTAATTTATAACCTTCAAATTCAGCAGCCTATTACTGTAATACTGATATAAGCAAAGACTTTTAAACAGGATTTTACCCGTGTATTGAAAAAAATAAAGGATTGTAATACAGTAAAGCCATTTTAATGGATAACCTGTACAGTTCAAAACAATTTAAAGAGAAATGTGTACACATGTCACATATGTGTAAGTGTGTTGAGGGTAGCCTACAGCAGAACAGATCAGGCAGGCAGCAGAGAGGAAGGAAGAGGAGGTGATACAAGCTGCAGCTGGAAACCACACAGTGACACCCTGATGTGTGTGCGCGTGCACCTTGGCCTCTTGTTTCACTGAGTAGGTGGGAACAGTCATCGCTGCCTGAACCTCATGGGTTGTTCACCGTAAATTTAGGCAAAAATAACTCAAAATTAAAACTAAACCACAGATTTTTGAGGTTTTAGTACAAAGAGAACAAAAATGTCACTTTTCCATCATTTTGAAACCAAACAGTGACAGAGTGTGACGGGTGTACACACAGAGAGACAAGCAGAGACGCAAATGTGGAGGTGCAGTCAGTTGAAGCGGGACGTCCCCTGTTGGCTCAAAATACAGAGCTGATGGAAAAAGGAATAAAAAAATTCCACCCAGTTGTTCATCATGTACATCATAAAAAGAAATTATTTTATCTGCGTGACATTTCTCAGTGCTATGACAACCTAACCGCTCAGACTGCTGTCTCGGTTGCAGGCCACTTCTTTATGGCCCAAATACTAGCATAAAAGGGGTGAAAGTCATATGAAAATGCACAACGAGTGACTTCACACTAAATCAAGTAAAATACTGCTGCAATGACCTCAAGTCGTTTAAATGTTTATGTCTGTTGCGCTTCTGAACGCACATTATTCATGGATGTGTTAAAACCAAGTGTGAACCTATCGTAACGTCACCCATTGGTCTGTGAAGTACCGTTTTAAAACCTCGAGGTTGGCAATATGGCCCTCACCATGGCGTTTTTTTTTTTTTAACTGCTCTCATTGGCTGCTCAGTTTTTACTCGTCCAGAAACAATGGCAGATCGCCTGGTCACACATGATCTTGTATTACACATAGAATATGTTTCTAAAATGAGTTTAGGTGGGATAAAGTCAATGTAGAATCCTGATTCATATCTGATCAGCACTGCCTGGTTTGACAGTTAGATCCGAGTTTGGTGAGCTGAGCTGGATGGACTCACTGAGAGTGACCTGTCAATCACAAGTTAGCCACGCCCTAAAGCATACCCTGCTTTATTGTCTATTTTACTGTAAATGGGACCATCATTTACTAAATCTAAGAGTATCTAAGAAATCTAAAACTATAGATTGAGACTATAAACTCATCAGGAAACTCATAAATCAAATGAGAAGTTGGGTTATTTCTCTCCCAGGTCCATGGAGCTCCGCCTGCTGGCCATTATAGAGAATGCAGGTTTAAGACACTTTAGCATTGGCTTCACTTCACACACCTGGAAAAGTCTTTTTGGGGCCCCTGGCTCTTCCTGGGGGCCTGCCATAATCACATTTAAGTCTGGTCTGTTGGTCTGTACTTGTGACTAGTGCTGTTCAGAGCAGGCCGTTTGCTTGGCCTCCAGTGTTGCTGCTTTCTCAATATCATCAACCTGCAAAGCTGGAAAGCCCCCGCAGTTTCAGATGCTTGCCCCCACCAAATCAGTATTCTTCGAAGACCTGCCAGTACTCTGCCTGTAACTGTATTATTAACGTTGTCAGCACTGTGTGCTAACTCTTGCATGAGTAACCCTGCAGCTTAAAATTTAGTTTTTACTAACCTCTTGGAAACTGACACCTTGCTGTTGCTGTTGGAGATTTACTGAGGGTGTGAAACACACACACTGTAAAACCAGATAAGTTGATTTAACTAAAATTGTGGTGCTAGTAATTTGTGTGACACTGACTTAATTTAAACAAACAAAATACTTAGTAAAAAGTACTTAATCAGAAATGTTTCTGTAACCTACAAAACTAAGTTAGTGTCACTTAAAATGACTAGAAAAGGCTGTTTCATCAAGAATCTTTTTCAACTCACACAACTATGTTTGTGTTATTTAAAATGTTCACTTATGGCATTACAGTGCATGAAGCTTCCAACCAGAAGAGGTCAGTGTAACTGTGTTTTGTATTAAGTTATATAGCTGGTAAGCTTTTATATTTTTGTTATTGTTCACAAATCTCACATGCAGACCAAAACCACAATGACATGATCCTACTAACAAGCATTTAACAAGCCTGATATATCTCATCCATGTCTCTGTGCAATAGAGCTGCATTGTTGTGCAAAAAGTGTGAACCAGTGACGTGCGGTGAGGTTTATGGCTGGTGAGGCACTGACTTCTTTTTAAAAATGTATTGCTGCACTTGACTTGCTAATTGTAACCACAGACTGTAAGATTGTTGCTAGCTCTGTCACCTACTCTGCAGCTGCGCAGTAGCATAAGAATCTCTGGGCTCACGAGTGCTCCCTACCATGCGGCAAGAGAACTGCCCGCCTCACCTAGTGCCTCTTCACTGCCGTTGTAAGATCGCTGAGCACACGAAACAGGTTACATACACATATATTATATACACCAACTATGGAAAGTCAGGGGGGCATATATTAAAAGTGTGTGGAAAACATTTGATTGGCGACTTACAGACAGACAGTAACACGCTCTCATTGCATGGCAGAGCACAGTTTGTGTGGGACTGTGCAATCCAAGGTGAGGCTCAGCTTGCTGCTGCCGCACCGTGCGTCTCTTCCCCGTATTTGAATGGGAAATGCAAAAATTCAGTGGGATTTTGAATAAAAAACAATCAAAATTGTTTAAGTTAAATGGAAAATTAGTTTGTAGTTCAAACCATTTGATAAATACAGTATAACCATTTAATTTTTTTGTTTATTATATATTTTATTTTTTCCATGATGACCACACGTCACTGCTGTGAGCACACATTATGAGGCACAGCGTTGCACTGGGTGACATGCTCCTTCATTATGGTGAACATTGGCACTGTAGTTTAGTTTGAGTCAATCAGAAATAGTCCAACTATTCATTTCCGATCTGTTAGAAGTCCTTATCATTGGCTCTGAATGCCAAGGGATCAGTTCACCCAAATTACAAAAACATGCTTTTTCACTTCCTTCTTGTAAGAAATTATTCATATGGTTAGTGAATAATGCTTGACAACTTATTTTAAGAAGTCAGCAGAAAACACTAAGTTAGAGGAACTTTCAAATCTGGTGACTTTCAACTGTGCATCGGATAAGACTGAATTTGCATTGACTAGCGCAAGAGAAAAGAGACAGAAGTTTGCATCAGAATATCAATAAAATGACTTGGTAAGTAATTATAAATGCTTTGTTTTATTCACAACAAAACCTCATTAAAAAATGAAAAAGTATATGCAGTTGGGGCTAAAATCACAATAGATAAGTGGGGAAACGTGTGTGTGTGTGTGTCTTGCTCAAATACTGAAGAACATATCAAATACAAAACCAGAAACAAATTCTTCTAGTAAAACAAGAAAAACTGTTTAGTTGATAGAACAAGTCTATCTTTTTACCAAATAATAGGCCTTTTTCCTTTTTGACATGAAATAATAAGCTAAACGCAGGTATTCCCATTGTTGTTCCATGTAGTGTAGCAGAGCCTTTCCTTGCAAAATAGTAGCACCCTGACTCTGTTTTACCTGAACAGAACCTTAATTGGTATTATTAGTAACACCTGTGTTTACTATTTCATGTCAAAATGGCTGCTGTGAACAAGGTCTATTATAAGAAACATTATCACCATTGTAACATTAATAACACTGATAATGCTGTGATACATATCAAAATGGTATTTTTATCCACCCAATGACCTTCTCCAAGAATCTTTTATAGTTGTGAGAAGCTTGTGGGAGGATATCCAAAACGTTTGACCCAAGTCATACAGTTTAAAGGCAATGGTACCAAATACTAATGAAATGTATGTAAACTTCTGACTTTCAAGAAAGTAATAAAA